ATCATATATGAGCTATATTACTGTCAAGTTTCATTAAAATCCATTCAGTATGTTTTAGGTGAAAGAGTAACAAAGATCCATACAAACGTAAGATTGAAATTAAAAGCGCACAAGTGGTTAATATACAACTTTAAAGCGTTGCAGATCCTAAACGATCATATAAAATGAAAAATGGTGTTAGGAACCTAAACATGATTTACGATTATCTAGACAGTGATACTCCACTCGACATATTTTGTCAACTTATTTTTTTTACTTCGTCACAATATGGCGCCTAATTTTGCCCGTATTGAATTTTGATTACTATCGCATTTTAATTGCATTGCGCAGTCGGGTAAAAACAGCCTTTTAAGAAGTTGCAGTTTTTGTCGCTCCTCTACTATTAAGATCCGGATTATTAAGATTTCAGTAGCATTTGACGACCTCCATGGCTGAGTAGTATATACTCAGAGGTCCCGGATTCGAGTCCCAATGAATACAAGAATTTGTACCTTAGTCACGGTTGTTTATATATATATATATATCTAGATAAAATATACTTATATATATATCAGTAAATGTATTCTATACCGTTACCCTATATCAAAAGCCATACAGTGTTTACTTTGGGGCTAGGCTAATTGGTGGGTGTAAGATTTTTTTTTGTTTTAGTATGGTTAATGGTACCGCCCAAATAGGGAATGGCGCTGGTTTCTGGCTGAATTGATTTCTAGTCAAAACATGTCTAGATATAGAATTCTAGCATTTTAAGGCTTAACAAAAATATACGTGTCAATTGTTGATATTTCTTCTTAATGTTTTGATACCTGTATTTAAGTACATAAACGTGACTCATTTATTGTAGCCGCCTATAATGTGAAAAGTCCAACCTAGCAGCCTGATGTGTGTCTGATATACTTACTACAAAATTAACATTTAAATAAATACAATAAAAAAGTTTTCTAAATTTCATTTGCAACAGTAACAAATATGAGGAGATTAAAAGAAACGCATCAGACTATAAAACTATTTTATTACTACTAGTTTATGTATATATCAATGCTCCCACATGTAGTGCACTCCTAAATAAGTAACAACAGATAGATTTTAAAGTAAATTATCAGTACGCTATTTACTCAATATAATACAATATTTTTTTCATTACTCATAAAAATTTGCTCAATGCATCTGTTAATTATCATGCTCTAAAATAAAATTAAAATAAGTAAGCATTTTATTATTCTAATTATTAAAAACATAGAAATTAACTGAAAGTCTCACCTGTCTCAGCCTGAATCAGTTAATCACGTCACCTACTCACTTTACAGAAAATAGCGAGTCCTTAATCGATCTTGTGTATGCTGACGTTGGAGCTAAATCGATCTCAGTTGAGCCAACAGACAACTTGTGCGGCCACTCGTTAATTATTTGTGAATTCGATATTAGGAAGGAAAAATCTAAACCTTTCATCCTTCGATCGAGATCACTTAAGACTGTTAATGCAGATGATTTGATCCGTGACTTGTCTAACATGCAGTGGGACATAGGATCTAATGCGGCGTCAGTAAATAAGTCAGTGGAAAAATTAAACCAAAATATTTTAGTGGTGTTTGATGATCATGCCCCAATTAGATCACGTGTTATAAGAGAACAATCTTATCCCTGGATTACGGACTCCATCAAGTTGATGATGAAACTGCGGGATGAGGCCTTGGCTAATTACAGAAAGACAAAAGTACTCACAAAAAAGCAATATTATTTAGAATTAAAATCACTAGTTAACAAATCTTTGTATTTTGAAAAAAATGCCTATTTTCGATTCAATATAAATAATAAAATACAAAATCCGAAATTATTGTGGAAAAATCTAAAAAAAACCATTCTTCATTCTAGCCAAGGGCATGAATTACCACCTCACTTTAATGATCCAAACTTAATCAACAGCCATTTTTTAGACATACCTGGTAATCTCACAGCAAATGTTGAATATAAAACGTTCTTTGACAATAATTTTTATGGCAGTGCCGTCTTCACACTCGCGCCTGTTACCGAAAAGGAAGTTTTACGATTCATACATAACTTAAAGTCTAATGCTGAAGGTTATGATGAAATTTCTTTAAGAATGATACTCCTTACTTTACCTTGCACATTGCAACACATCACTGCTGTTGTAAACGAGTCTATTCTTACGTCCACCTTCCCAGATCTTTGGAAAGTTGCCGCTATCTTACCAATTCCTAAACGGCCTAACCCGACTGCATACAAAGACCTCCGCCCGATCAGTATCCTGTCTTGTCTTTCTAAGATATTGGAGAGAGCTGTCTGCTCACAGTTGACTGATTTCCTTGAAGCGAACAAAATTCTGCCTCAATTTCAGTCTGGTTTTAGGAAGGGTCATAGCACTGCTACAGCTTTGATTGACCTTACAGATAATGTCTTGGCTGATCAGGATAAGGGTATGTGTACAGTTTTGGTATTGTTAGATTTCTCTCGTGCTTTTGATACTATAAACACCGATCTGCTGTTGGCTAAGATGAAGTTTTATGGATTTGACGAAAATACAATCAATTGGTTTCGAAGCTATATGTCCAATAGGAAACAGTTCGTCAAGCTCAACCAAAGCGATGGTAAATCTATAAAGTCATCCCTCAGCTCGGTAACTAGAGGTGTTCCGCAAGGTTCCATTCCAGGTCCTATCCTTTTTATATTGTACTGTGCTGATATAGTAAACTGTTTCCGAAAATGTCGATATCACATCTACGCGGATGATGTTCAACTTTATTTGTCTTTTAGACCTTGTGACTACGAATCGGCTATTGTTACGATAAACGATGAACTGCGTTCTATATGCGATTGGTCAAATAACAATTGCTTGGTTCTGAACCCATCCAAAACAAAATACATGGTCTTTGGTACCAGAAAAATGAAAGACATGCTGCCTTGTCACCTAGATATTTCTATAAATGGTGAATCAATCGAAAGAGTGGATGAAGTTCGCAACCTCGGTCTGTACATCGATAGCAATCTAAGATTTGAAAAGCACATGGCTGATTCTGTACGGAATTGCTTCTATCGGCTTAAGGTTCTTTATAAGATCAGACCCTATCTATCTGAGGAACTGCGCGTCCGCTTAGTTGAGTCGTTAATTTTGTCCAGGCTCAATTATGCGGATACAGTTTTTGGTCCACGCTTATTGACACGTACGGAGCGTCTAATACAGAGGGTTCAAAATGCTTGCGCTCGCTTTTGTTTCTCTATTCCATACAGAAGTCATGTTACACCTTTTCTAAATAAACACAGCATTCTGAAAATGAAGTCTAGACGTAAATTACATTTAGCCTGTCTTCTGTTTGGAGTTATACGAAGCGGAGCACCGCTGTATCTTTATAACCGACTGACCTGGTTGACAGGCAGCAGTGAGAGAGACAGAAGACAGTGTTCCCTGCAGCTAATTACACAGTCGCACAGATTGGCTAGTTTCAGAGGTAGTTTCCGCTACGCCGCTTCTAAAATATGGAATAATCTGCCCCCACCATTAAGAAATTCTAAATCCATTTATTCTTTCAAAAAAAACCTAAAGAAATATTTACTGGATGCTCAACAGGAATTAGAAAACTTTCAGCACAACGACTCGTATATTTAGCCTTTCTTCATTGGTATTTTTGTGTTTGTATATGTATATATGTATGTGTTTACATAAACACTTGTATCCGTAAAAGTTGGGTAAATTTATTAGTATGTATGTTATATATCATAAATACTTGTATCAGTAAAAGTTCGGTAAATTTATTAGTATGTATGTATACTTTTAATTTTTCTTCTATATAAATCGCACGTATTTTATTTTTATTTAATTTGTAAGGAGGAAACGTGTTTTGGACATACATTGGGGGCTGGGGTTTAGTTTATAGTCCAGGGTCTAGTTGAAAACCAGCGTCAGCTCATTGAGCTGACACAATGCTGAACTTTGACCCTTTTTGGCGCAGGCAGGCACTTTCAAGTTTGCATTATTTACCTCTTTTTTGTTTGTTTTTTGTAATACATTTTATTTTCTTTTGTTACTTATAGATATTCATTTAAATAATTGCATGTAAATTGAAAATGTACCTACCTATTTTAAGCCTACTGTGTCAAATAAAATTATTTTGTTTGTTTGTTTGTTAATTATTAAGGGGGCGTCCATAAATTACATGAAATGTTAAGGGGGGGGGGTCAAATCTCCTCTAATCTTACGTTGAAGAGAGGGGGGGCCGCGGCAAATATCACACAATATATTTACTGATTGAAACAAAAAAAAATTTTGGTCTATTTATTCCAGATTGTACATGATTGTCCATGGACTGAATTAGAGTAGATATTCCTTTTTTTAATCACAGTAGTTACGATTTAATTTTATTTTTAAATTTTAATTACACTTATAACTCTCAGCAATATTGATATTACTAGACGTAAATAAAAGCACGAAGCAATTACTTTTTTTTCTTTTTACAATAATAATCCAACGTGTTTACGTAAGAAACCCACTTTTTGAAAAATCTCACGTGAGATTTGGGGATGGGGGAGAGGGTTGAATAAAATCTCACGACGCCTCACCAGGAGGGGAAGGAGGGACAGAAAAATCAAAAAAACACCTCACGTAATTTATGGACGCCCCCAAACCTTCAATTGACTCCAACCTGACAATACTTCTAACCGTAACCAGCATGACATACAGTGAAACTAGTTATACACTCCCGGACTCTTGAATCGAGCCACCTTACATTCCCGGGCCTAAAAGCCCAATACACAAAAAATATACAAATTAACAAAAAAGTTTTTATGCATTTTTAATGCTGGCATATTTCATCGTCTTTCCCGTATGTATTATTCCAAATTTGAATTTTAGAATTTAAAATAAAGAATGACTGTTGAAAGTTGCTTTTGAAGCAATTTAATGTCGATTTGGTTTGAATTTTCGCAATTGTTGTAAACCAAAGTTTAGTTTAGTTATTTTTCTATAATTTGAACCGTTTTTGGCTATAAAATTATGGATACTTCACCTGAAGTAGCCGCGCAAGCTGTAGCACTTCTTCAATCTGGGCTAAGTCAGCGAGATGTGAGTTCACAACTTCACATAAGTCGTTCCGCTGTTCAAAGAGTGTACCACCGATACCTAGAGACTGGCGGCTTCGTTCGGCGAACAGGAGGACCTCGATACCGAGTGACAACGACGAGACAAGATCAATACATTGTCACTACTAGCTTACGAAATCGATGCCTTAACTCTGTTCAGATACAAGAACAGCTCAGGGACTTTCACGTACTGTACAGTACTTAAATGACATTGGTATCATTGTTATGAGATGGCCAGCGCGAAGTCCTGATATGAATCCTATAGAGCATCTATGGGATGAGCTGAAGAGGCGTGTTCGAGCTCATCATCCTGCCCCGCAAACCATGCAGGAGCTCAAAAATGTAATTTTGGAAGAATGGGAGGACATTCCTCAACATGTCATAACGACATTGATTAATTCTATGCCAAACCGTATGAGAGCTGTCATAAATGCACTGGGAGGCAATACAAGTTACTAAATAAACATTTCTTTTCATGTAAAACATGTCTTTATTTAAAAATGGATTAGATTTTATTCCTTGAAAAAAGCAAATATGGACTTGTTTCAACGTAACTCGACTTTTTTAATAAACTGTAGTTTAAATTTAGAACAGTGGCCCTCTAAATGAATGATGAGTATACCAGCTCCAAAACTGCATCAAAACATTTTCCTTCTACATACATCTTTTATAAGTTACAATACTCCAAACCAAAAAAATCAAGGTGGCTCGATTTAAGTGTCCGGGAGTGTATTGATTAATCGGTTAACAGATTATTATAAAAACTATTAAATCAAGTTACATAATAACTTCTAGTTAACTTATAAAATGTACTTATTTAAAAAAAATAGTTAATATTCATAATATATGTATTGACTGTGACAATATTTTTATACTTATTACTTTTCTATTACCATGGAATAAACAAATTTAAAGTAACAACAAAACAAAACTAACAAACAAATTATTACCAATGTTATAATACTTGTTGCCTCATTCAGACTTGCTCTTAACTGTGTACAAAATTTGATTTGTTTGATGAATCAAATACAGAGCACTCACAAAAACTGCATTTGCCCTGAAAAGAAAAAACGGTTTTTAAGTAATGACTTGGGTAAAATTCCGGTATTTTAAGAATATATATTATACAGCAACACATTAAAATCTATGCTCATTTAAAAAATTTACAAAATCACATGTACACACATCTATGTATACATATAATAAAATGGTAGGAAAGTCAAAACTGTACATTGAATATTTTATTTAAAGAATACTTGGGGTACAATCAATACCGAACCAAAAAATTTAGATTTTTTGTCTATTTGTATGTATGTCCGGAATAAACTCAAAAAGTACTGCATGGATTTACTTCAAATTTGGCACGAATATTATTAAGAAGTCGGGCCAACATATAGGCTTCATATTATCACGCTATCACCTACGGGGAACGAGCAGTGAACGTTTATTTCTAACTAACTTCACGAGTACGAAGTCGCGGGCGGCCACTAGTATTTTAATAATTCGAATAATAAAAGTTATACTTACTGTCCTTCCTTGAAATATTCTTTCAAAGTGTTCGAAAATCTCTTTGAATATTTCACAAACTCTCTCTTTCTTTGTTCCAACACCTGTTTCCCAGGACCAGGAGTGTATGTAGACACTTCATTTACAGCATCGAGAAGCTTTTTTATAGCAGATGCAATCTCCCTGTAAATATTTTTATTTAGTTATTTTAACAAAGGGTAAAATCTAGACTTGCAACGAATAGTATATTCGGCAGTATACCGAATACCGAATATTCGGCGAGGCCCCTGACCGAATAGCCGAATATTAGGCAAAAGTATTCGGCTGGATTTTAGCGCCAAAAACTTGTACAGACGTGATTGTTTCGCGCTACTTTGTTTTGTTCTAATCTGCCGTCCTCAAGCTAAAATGCGGCTAAATGACAAAACCAACTTTTGAGATATGGCCAAAAACGGCGCGTAAACTTTGAATTATTGCTATTATGTAACCATTCATCACATGACTGAATGAATTAAAAACTGTTAACTTGTTTAAAAAATGATTAAATTATGTACCTGTTTTATGTACCAATGACTACTTAATAAATGATTATAAAAGAAATCAGAACCTTACCCTTCTAAATTTTGATTACCACAATAATTCAAATACATAGAATCGTCCATTTTTCCAATTCAGAAGATGATTATGTACCTGTGTTATGTACCAATGACTACTTAAATGATTGTATAACAGAAATGAAAATATGAATATATACGTAATCAATCGATTTTAATTTTTCATTTTACCAATTATTTCTCTATGACAAAATATATTTTTATGTATTCGGTATTCGGCCGAATATAATAAAAGCAGCCGAATAGGCCGAATACCGAATAGTAACCGAATATTCGTTGCAAGTCTAGTAAAATCATAATAATTCTAACACTCACACGAATTAGCCTAGCCCCAAAGTAAGCACTGTAAGGGTTGTGTTATGGGACTAGTACTAGAGTAACGGATAGAATAAATATACTGATACATATTTTATATAAAGCATATTTTCTCATTTAGAAATACACATAAAAATGACTAAGGTACAAATGCTCGTATTCACATTACTCACATTTGCCCTCACCTGGATTCGAACACGGGATCTGTTGAGTAGGCGACATACACCTTAAAACCCAGCGTACAAACCACTCGGCCAAGGAGGTAGTCAAAGAAAACGGGCAAAAATTTATGGAAGCCTGCCTAGGAAGCAATAACAACATGCAATATATCATTGGAAAGATTTTTTATGTAGGTACTTTAACGATTGTTATGGCGAGAAGTCCCAAGGCGCTATGTGAAAAAAAAATATGACGCAATAAAGCCAGACTTCATTAGCAAAAATTAGTTTATTTTTATGTTAATCATCAATTAACTTTAGTTTATTATGTATAACTATCATAGTAAAGTACCAAAATGTTAAGTGCTTCACACACTAAGGTTTCCGTAAGTATACTTACTTATCTATACTTATAATAAATCTGTAGAGAGGTCAATTCTGTACATGAAATATATTTTCAAAATAACTATCAGGGGGTGATTAGTGATAGATACTGATGCCAAAAATGCAATCAGTAAAATTTTTGTCTGTCTGTCTGTCTGTCTGTCTGTGTGTATGTTCCTTATAGAAACAAAAACTACTCGATGGATTTTAACGAAACTTGGTACAATTATTCTTCATACTCCTGGGCAGGTTATAGTATACTTTTCATCACGCTACAATCAAAAGGAACAGAGTAGTGAATGGAAATATTGGGAAAACGGAAGAAGTTACTCCATTTTTTAAGCTTATATTATTAATGGTTAAAGTTACATAGAAATCATGTATGACGGAAATATTCTACATAAAATTGTCTAAAAAATATCCCGCAACAGCATATGTCTATATTTTATGGTTGACTCACAATAACACGTGTAACTCCTGATAGCTTAGCAGTTCGGAACATTCTGATTATATTTGTTTACTCTTACGTTTATAATACTCTCACTCATCCCTAATTTAATAAAGTTAACATTATTACCTATTCAATAAAAAAAGAATCATAGAAAAAGAATTAAATAAATAAATTCATTGTGTACAATACACGCCTGAGAACAAAAACTATAGTCTACACTACAGCTCTACACCATATGGTACGCTCATACTAGCATTAAATAATATATGCTCCAACTCAACTTTTTTTTCATGTTTGTTGTCACTGAGAGTGCCATACCTTCCATCTTATACTACCATGCAACTGACAATAGGTTGCTGGCAGGCCTGTCACACCTGTGTTCTTGGGCCATGATTATACTATTTTTTTAGGGCAAAATACTATCTCTTTGAATAATTTTCAGATCCTGGTTCCAACCCTGTTGAGTTGAATTTGTGACTAAAGCAAATTTTGTTCTTGCGCCACAATTTAAGCGATAGAATTTTGAGCCGCGAGTGTAATATCTTCCCTTTTTGTTTTAATCTAAAATAAAGGATATGGAAAACCCTTTACAATGATATATCGCATGTTGTAATTGGTTCCTAGGCAGAAGGATAGTAATGTTGTCTTGACAGATAAGCAGAGATGTGCAATATATATTACAAAATATATTTAAATACTACAAAATGTAAATACTTATATATTTTTTTTCAAACAAAATAGTTTTTCATTTTATATTTAAAATACAAAATACATATCAGTTTTGTCATAGTGATAAAAAAAATACCTATTGCAATTAATATGTATTGTTGAGTAAATTGTTGAGTAAACTTATCAAAAAAATTATATCAGGGTTCGGTTCAAATGTAAAATGGGTGGTTCCTACCTAGTATGAAATGAAATGAAATTATACTTTATTTGAATTGAGTTATTGAAAGCTCTTTTGAATCAACCTATTTTTTCTCATCAAATTCAGGATATCTTTCAACGGATGAGAGACATGTGTTTATGTATGAGACTAAACTGCAAGTATCTTCTATTGAATAAGAAAAATCACTCAAATCAGATCAGAAATCTTTACGTAATCTGTGTACATCTAAATAAAGTAAAAGAAAAATTATAAAGTCCAAGTTAACTAAAATGCTTATAAAATAAAAACTACTGCACTAAACTGAATAAATTTTTTTGGGACTAAATGGTAACTATGACTGTGACAAAATCGCGTTAATCGGATCAGAAATTGGTGTAATAGGTGTATATTAATAAAAATGAGTTAACAGACCAAATTGAAAACCACCTGCTTTGTGAAGTCACTTAATAAGTATTTTGCATTTTGCAAATAGAACATATGTCCTTAAAAGTATTTATAATAAAATAGAAAATGCATCTCTAAAAAAAAGTATTTAAATACAAAATGGAAATACTTAGGTATTTTGCATATCAAATACTTTTATTTTTAAAATGTCTCATCTCTGCACATTTTTTTTTATTCTCACTTGATTGTCTCCAGGAATGTTTTTCTGTCAGTAATCTCATCAGGAATGCGACTCAATATCTTTTTTAAAGCAGTGGACTTCTTGTTCAGCTCTTGGAATGCTTCTTCAGTTCTGTTTAAACGAAGATCGACACCTAAAATAAAAATGCAGTTATATTTCTAAATTCTGTATTGATTTGTATTGAATAAAAACTTGTATTTTCTTCATAAATATAAAACTTATTAAGATGGATAATATGTCATATTTAAGTATTCTCCAGATATACTCTGATATAACTTTTAAAAGTATAAAACATACTATCCAAATATATTACAGAAAAGCATACTTAAATAGATTTGAATTCAAAATAATTCATGTAAAATAATGCAATACTATGAATTAAATTAAATGGGATATAATTACATTCTGCTTCAGTCAGAGTTCCTTGAAGACGAAGCAAGCTCTCATTCATATTAACAGGAATGTCAGCTCTTCTCATAATACCAGCAACAAGATCATAGTTTAAACCTGGCACTGCAGCCTCCACTTTTGTCAATGCAGCTCTTAGTGTCTGAGAGGCTCCTAAATCATACTTCTCCAACTAAAAATAAGGAGTAAAATAAACTTATTACAAAAATATTATTATCTAGATTTTTTACACCTTCATTAATGATAACACTTAGATGTTAAATTCTCCTTTTTATATTCCTATAGCTGTGTTATAACTATATGCCCTTCACTCAATGTGGACATAATACTAGGAAATCACAAATACATTAGAGAAAGTATGAAAACCTTTATTAGTATTAAATATGTATTAGGCCACAAAATATTATAATTAAAAATACAATCTCCATAATTGTAAAATAAATAAGAATAATTACCTTTTCACTCAGCATTTTAATTAATTTATACTCATTAAAATACCATTAAGGTTTAATGAAAACCCTAAACTTAATATAAAATCCAATCCAGTCAATAGCAATGCTTGATAGTGTATAATTAATATTATAACATACCATCGCAGATATGAACTAGATAGTTCATATCTGCAATGGAAGATATTTGGAAGATTAAAAAAAAATATTTTGATGTGTTAAGACACGGCTTCTAAGCGTTATTATTCTGTCTCGAGAGGTAAGGAGATTCCATACAACGGGGTCTACCTATTTTGGACTCGTGTTTTATTATTTTGTTAACACTTAGGTTATTATGTAGTAAAAAAATTACTTATTATTATTGCCTTACCTGAGTCAAAACAGGACGTATGAGAACTGGCAAAACCAAAGAAGTAACAGGCAGTTCATCACCCATTGTCATTGTGGTAAAGTTAACGAAATTCGTTTCGTTAACGAAAAACTGTTATTAGTAATGATACTACAGAATAAAATCTCAGAACACAAACTGCAATCAATTTTATTTTATTGTCCCCTTTTTGCTAAGGATTAGATATTAATAATTTAGCCAAGAAGGTGTTTAATAGCAAGTGTACGTTTTTTGACTAATGATGACAATCAACTGTCAACATAATGACAGATTACACCAGTGTTGCTAGGCTTGTTGAAAATATATCAATGTATCGTATTATGGATATTTTTTGTTCGATATATCGATATTTTTTGCTGATATTTTTTGATCGATATATCGATACATCGATACAAAATAACCAATATCGAAATTCGTATCAAAAACGATATATTTTTAATTATTAGCGGCATATCACGATCTAACTAAATTCATATCTGGAAAAATCGTAGATCTCAGATTAATGATATTCAACATATCTATGATCTGTGCTGTATTTAGTATTGTCTATGTCATCATTGGAAAATAGGGTCAGTCTATTTTTAGGGAGATAATTTTCGTTCCATTATTATTCCGCGTGTCATATTTCGTGAGCTGCTGTACGATATTTTTGGGAAAATTGGTCCGATATATCGATAAATCGATGTTTTTTCGCGATATATCGAAGCCGATATTGATATTTTTTAAAATATCGATGTATCGATATATCGATATTTTTTTCAACTTTCGACATCCCTAAGTGTTGCCACCTTGGATTTTTTTAATGCGCCAAGTCATAGGTAAAATATCGCCAGATTTCTAAAATTTGGATTTAATAAAATATACCAAAATCCGCTAAATTACAATTACATCTCTGATAACAAAAAACCCTAATTTAAATAAAAAATCAGTGAATATGTATGAGATGCTACAGAAATAACTGTGTCCCGCAGTCGTTCTAAATTAGTAAAATTTTGTTTTTTAAAACGAATGGCAATATTGTTTTTACTAACTTAAAACTTTTCCGAGTGTTACTTTAATAGTACTAGAGAATGAAATAAAACCAGGTAAATATGTATTTACATTCATTATTTATAATCAAGAAATAAATCTTACACAAAATGTGAAATTTAAAATTCAATATTGTTAAATGTTACATCTTCTATAACTTCATCGTTGTTCACAGACGCCGACGCTTCTGTCAATGAAACCAATGTCGAAGCTGAAGATGTTTGGTTGTGGTTGTAGTAGATTTTTGAAAGAGTATTTTGTGTTTTTTAAATGATATCATTTGATTGTCGGATAGAATTTGCATTTTTTTTGTACTTTTTTGTTTCAGCATTTCTTCTCAAATTTACTACTCTTCCTAATAATTCTGCTTTACAAAATGAACAAAACGCCTTCGCATCAACACCTGCTTAAGGTTTAAGCCAGGTTTGGAATTCGTCGAGTGATTCCCATTGTTTTCTATTCTTTTGTATGTAATTCTTTTCCTTGAATAGAATTTCCATAATAACATATAATTGAATACTCTAAACATACAGCTTCAGGAGTTCACACACTGTTACAAACGTGTCTACCAAATCAAACTTTTACACTTTTTAACAACACAATGAACTTGAACCTGATTCCTGAAACAGAAAGAACGATTGAAGGAAGCCCTTAACAGCCAACGCGTGCAGGAATTCCCCTGTAACCATAAGAGTAACCATAGAACATTATGAAATTTCGGAAAGTTAGGGGATTTCCCCCTTAAAAATATGTTGCTAGATTTCATGTTAAAAAACCACTAAAAAACACTAAAAAAAATATACCCGCTAGATAATGAAAATATACCACTAGAAGTCGTGAAAAAGCACCAGTTCTGGTGGAAAAACCACTAAGGTGGCACCATAAAACCACCAAGGTGGCGCAATATTATACATATATATTAGACATCTGTTCGAAAGGTACTTTGAACGATCCACGGAGCTCCATAAGATGATCGTGTTGTCAAAAACAATGTTGGCACGCTCGTCACCTCTGATCACTGTTTTCATATTTATAATATTTATCCACATGTTTCTAGTTTCTATAAAGACACAACGTGTTTTAGTTACTTACAAGTGCTAATTACATATGGACTAATAACTTAAATTCAGTAGTTGAATTGAATATTTTGAATATTTATTTAATTATTCAAATTAAAACTGAACTTAATTGACTGTGTTAACTATCCTTTTCCAGTCCTTTTATTATTTTATTGTAATTATTAATTATTTGCATGCAATTAAAAAATATTTTTAATGATGCTATAGAAGTATAACTTCTCACGCACGTACATAAGTTACACGCATCCATTTTTTTTTTTTTCATTGCAGAAATTGACTTTTTGCACAAAAATCATACCAATTATACTAATATCACAGCTAAATTCAAACTGTACTAGAAGCCATTTCATAACTACCAAGCCACCCTACCATTCAGGTCGCTCTACAAAGATCCGGCTACTACCGCAGTGCGAGAGAGGTATTTATTTGTAGCTAACTAAATTATTGAGTAAGTATTTGAAAACTTACCAACTAAGGCCGTATACAGAAAGAAAGCCGAAAGCGCCTTAAGCGCCGATCCTTCCTACATAAAGGAAGCCGATTAAAGCAGATCAAGCAAAATGTCGGACTCATCGGACGATGATCTGGTTTTAGTGTGTATTTAAAAATGCGAAAAAAGCTATACATCCTATAAATAGAGAAAGGAAACGTTTCGGAGAATACCATCATTTATTTGTAAAAAAAATGAAATTTGATGAACAAATATTTTATACATATACAAGAATGATTCAAGAAACATTTTATTACATTTTGGATTTAGTGAAAAACCGTTTGATGAAAAATTGGTGCAATTGGCATAAACAACCAATCCTTCCAGAAGAAAGACTTGTTGTCACCATTCGGTTAGTACGAAACAAACAATTTTAGCGCTTAGTTAATAAAAGATAAAGTTATTAGATTTATAAAAAGATTATAACTTAGATTGATTTAATCTAAGGATAATAATTCAAATACAAATTATTTATTATTCGGACCAGCGTGTCTCGGCGCCGATCGGCTTTCGGCTTTCTTTCTGTATACGGCCTAACGTCTCGGGGGACTAGGGGTCGCAAACCGGGATACCGAATTTCGAAAATACCGGAATACCGGGCCAAATTTAGGTCTAATTAATACCGGTATTCATTTCATAAAAACCGGGATATTCGGTATTTTCGGTTTTAGTAAAATAAATAAATAACAAATACAAATAGAAAAAGTTACACGCCGTTTAATTCAAAATAGTTCGTTCACCTTACGACAAGACCGATGAATCCAGCGACAGCCAAGTAGCCGAACTTCCCGCTCTCTGTCCCGCGCAATGATTAGCGAACGAACCAATGGCGTGGCGCGAACGGTGCAAGTGAGTATGTTTAACTCACTTCCCAGGCTGTAACACTAAGGACGACCAAGAATGGGAAGATGAGATATCCGCGGTTCCGGTTATCAAACAATAAACCTTGTGTCAATGTGTATTTTGTTTTATTTAGAAGATAAATTCATTTAGGTTAGGTACCTACTTACTATTCCTCCGCAAACTAACTTTATTATACTAAATTGGCTGACTTTAGCTTAATCCCGGAAATATCGAAAATACCGGATTATTGGTATTGGTCTAGTGCCAATACCGAAAATACCGGTTTTGCTGAAATGATTCGGTATTGCGACCCCTACGGGTGACGTGCGCGGGCCATTGCTGGACAGTAGTAGTAAGGAGGGGCACCCACCCGTGCGAGACGGGCCGCTTGTTATTAATAAATGTAGGCATTCTAATAATGATCAACAAATACAAGTAAATGAATGTTTATTCTAGCCGTTTAACTTTGATCCAAATATGATTTGGCCGATGTCCTTTCGTTAAATGGCAAAACATTAATAGATCGAGTTTTTGAATAAAGTTAATTCATTTAAGCATTGTGTAAAATAAAAGTCGGAGTCAAGATCAATTCTTGTTTTACGATAAATGTTTTCATCCTAAGCCCTCAAATTACTGGGAGCTTTACAGTTTACATTTAGCGACTTCTAGTGACTTTTGATCATTGTCCATACCTAGCGACATTTAAATAGACTTTTCAAGCGTACGCAAATGACATTTTGACATGTAGAGTTGGCATTATTTTGGCAACACTGCACACAGCTGTCGTCTGTAGTTGTACTCATAGATAATACGACAATACTATATGTCTATGGTTGCTGGCTGCATGGCTCTGCCTTTGCCTTTCCCAAGATGGGAAAAACAGATTTAAAAAAAATCTATGGTTGTAGTCAGTGTTGCCAACTCTACGTCTTTTTAGATGAAGACTGTACTACGCCGTTGCACGGAACCACCTCCACCCGCAAGCTCTCCGAGGTAAAAATCTGCGCATTTTTCCCGCTCGTGAGACTGCCCGGCGCCGTTTCGCGCCGGCGGTGACTGCCGCGCCCACAGCCGCAGGCCTTGAGCGCGCCGCAAGGCTGAGCTCGGCCAGGTTCGCGCAGGCGTAACCCCCATCCCGCAGCATGAACAATTACGACGTGAAGCCTATTCCCAGCTTGGCCGACTCCAAGGCCATCTTCGCAGCCGGACAGTGCTACTACGGATCGCCGCGTATCCAATATGAATTGGACGCGGCGATGGTGAGTCGGCTCATTTACTCCGGCCTCTTATCATGGAGGATGCAGAGATGGCTTTGGGTTTACTACCGCCTCCTGAATGAGGACCCAAGCTCCGTCACCGACCTCGGCCCCGATGACGAGGAGCTCATCGCGGCATGCGTTTTCGCCAACGCCAGGCCACTTACAATCCCAGTGGCACCCCGCCTACATATGAAGAAGATTCAGAAGGAACCGGAAGAGCGACGCGCCCGCGGTACACAACCGCGCGACCCGCGCCTCCCCCGGTCTCGCAGCGTCGGAGACACCCCCGACCCCCAGCAGGCACCACTACCTACAAAGGTAACCCCTGCACCGCAGCATGACAATGAACCCGCGCAAGAAGCCGCCCCCGCCGCCCTAGAAGAAGAACCACAACCGGAGCAGACTGCTGTACCGACACAGTCTTACGCACAGGCCGCAGGTTTTTTCGCGTCTACCCACATAGATGACGAAAAAACCCCCACCACCGATGCACTACCCACCACCGCACAGAATGCGCAAC